CGCTAGGATTTTTATTTTTTTTTTTTTTTTTCCCCCAAATAGCGTTTAATGTACTTCTAGGACAGTTACCGAGTCACATTTAACCCGCTCAGTACGGGCACGGCGGAGGGCAGTATCGTACATCTTTATTAACGAGCTCGTTTAATTAAAAGTATTTGGTTCTTACAGATATATAGACAAAGGGAGGCAAACTATTTGCTCTCAGTGGATCTCATCGCCTACAGCTCTGCCCCAGTCACAGTGTCCCAGGAAGGAGCAGGCGGGAGGGGAAGGGGGCAGCGGCGCGGCCCTGCCCTCGCGGTAAGGCAGGTGAGGGGGATTTCTACACAACCCTAAGTTGTACAAAAACAGAGGAAAAGAACTTTTATCAAAAATCGCACATGCTTCCAGAGACAGGTAGCTACAGATCGTAAAAAGGCAGCAATAGAAATTTCAGTGCAAAGTCCTAGGTTAATAGAGAAAAGGAAGAGGTCTTGGCGCAAGCTGTTGCTCTGCAATTACACAACCAGGTCCCTACAATTACATTTCCAGCTGATTTTTTTCTTTTCATTAAACAAGATCTAAAAAGCTGTTAAAACTACATTTTCAAGCTATTTTGTGTACTTGTAAATCCCACCCTCAAACAAATATTTTCCTCTTTCGCTTCCTTTTTTTTTTTTTTAAATGTAGTACATTGAAGTCTTATTGCAACAATCGCATTTATTGCGGCAATCACTTTTTTCTTAATTGAGAATAGTGCAAAGAGGTGCAAGCTTGGTGCTGTTCCTCTACGGGTGAGGAGAGGCCAAGGCCAGGTCCCACAACAAAATTAAAACCATGACCATAAAAAGCTTCAGCCAGTGACTGCTTTGAAAAGGAAGGGAAAGGCACAAAATGAGTTAAGCTATGAAGAAGATTAAATCAGAAGTCAGGACAAGTGCTAACAGTAATACAGTACAATACATTTTTTTTTTTTCCAGAGTCCAGACAACTGTTAAAACTGCAAATCATTTTTTAAATGATTTTAGTTTATTGTATTTTGTGCTGTAAGACACTGTGCTTTAATAGCAAACTGCAAAAAAGGCAGTACATATTGCTTTCATTTTATTTCACAAAGGAACGTTTCACAAAAACAGTAGTCTACTTTCCTGTGTTTAAGTGACTTGTGATTCTAACGATGGAATGGAGTAAGTCTCAAAAGCATCAAGTGAGCAGGAAATATATCTAGTTAGTTATATAGTTTATTATTTACAGGCTATATACTAAATGAAAAATATGCAGAAGATGCCTAATAAAACTGGGATTTGGGATTTGTTAGCGCCCATTAGTATCAACCCAGTTTCTAACATTCGAGATATTCTTAGCTTTTTAATTGTAGTAATTTCTACAAAATTGGACCGTGAGTATTTTAGGCACCAGGAGATTCAAGTTTACTTCTCTCTTCTGTATTGAAGGGAGATTGGTCAGTAGCAGGGGAAGGAAAATCAGGTTATGAAATAGGTTTTTAGTGTTGGGTAGGTAGAAGGCTTTCCCCATGTTGTGTCTTTGTTCATAGTTGCATATTGTATTTAACATTTCGCTCTAGTCCTAGTCAGTGGTGATAGTCTGTCTTGCTTCAAGATTTAGTACTAAAGAAAAAAGTGTGCAACTTCACCCTATAGCTTTGTTTAGGCAGAACATGACCATCCTCAGCACCAAGTAAGGTGAATGAAAAGGCTACACCTGTAGTGCAGAGACAGCTAAGTAATCAACCAGTGGTATGAGCAGGAGACAGTAAGCCACGTTGTACTCCACTGTCACAATATAGTTAAAACCTCATGTTCCTGGGAATTCAGTATTTTTAGTGGAATGAATTCCTACTGGGAGTGAGAAACAGTATTGCTGTGAACTGTTAAAAAAAAAATAAAAATAGAGCAACCAAGGTCCTGTCTCAAAGCTCTGTTAATGCAACTTGCTTCTGGCCTGCAATTCATCCAGCAGTTGTGCTTTTTAACTAGAGGCCATCCTTTACCTGGAGGTATGGGTAAGGAATTTAGGTGCAAATGCCATTTTGGATTTAGTGTTTGAATCTGTTCCACACTTAATCACTGCAGTATTTAGAAGTTCTAGAAATTTAGAAATTTCAAAACACTGAGAAGCTGGGCATGTTTTCCCATGGCACCACGTTCAGCCAATCTTCATTCAATTTTTAGACATCATGGGTAGAAAAAAAATGTGTATAAAGTTGCACTAACCGTGAAGATCAGTATAGTGATGTTATTTGTAAAGAACACATCTCAGGAAAAGACTTCCAGCAGGACCTGCAAGTTACCAAATACAAGAATGTTTCCCCTTTTTAAGGAGCTGAAAGTTAGCATGTATACATGTTTAAATACCAGAAATGAGGTAAAAGAGAAGCATTTGAATTATAAGGCACCATTATTTACAACTTCCATTATTGGCACTCACTCCAGTAAGTCTTAAGAGAAGCACAAATCTGGGATTAAATGCAACGCTAAGGAATTTTTCCAGCCCTTCAACCTTCATTTCTACAGATGTGTGTGAAGCCACCAAAATTTTACCCGTCACTGCTTATGTGATGTCTAGTTAGCAGTGGGAATGTAATCCTAAAAATATGTCATTTCTTTGATGTTCTCCAGCATCATGCCGTGGATGACACGACACGTAACAAAAATCAAAAGCAAAAATGCACTATATCCACAGGCCTAATGATTAAGTTATGGTTTAGCCAACCAGCATAGTCAAACTGTTCATCTCACTTTCATGGATGGTTTAAAAACCCCTTCCTTTACCTGCAACTCTTAAACATTTACATTGATGCTTTGATAACCGCAGAAGCACAAACCAGGTTTTCTAGAAATCCTCCAAATTAGGCTACATGAACATTGGTCCAACATTTCTGTTGAAATGCAGAGTCCCTTCTTTTAAGATGTACAAGTTCTCTTCAAGTAGGAAGATGCACAAAGCATGAGTGAATACAATTGTTCTGGTCTTACTCAGGCGTAAAAATGAGTTCACAGATAGGGTACAGCAGTTAGTCGATACCAGTTAACAGTCTCCTTGCTCAAGTTGAAGTCCTTTAGCGAGAGTGTAATTCCACCCAAGAAAAAATTCTCACGTAATGATTCCGCACTGAGCACGCTTAACTGAAGTTCTCTCTGTTTCAGAGTCTCCATGCTATATCCACTGTACACAAGCTAGAATGTAAGAAGTCAAGATTTTTTTGGTTATCCAAATGAAATTACACAGATTTCCCTTTCTTCTGACTGCGTAGCCACTGATGGATGTCTTAACTGCACATTATGACCACTCAGTATGTCTGTTTCTCAGAGGACAGACTGAAGTACATCCATATTTTATTTTGCACTCCCAACATTAAGTGTTTCTAGATGGAAGCACTGTTTACATGCCAAGACTTGCAAATTCATTCTTCTCCACATTATGAATCAGCAAATCCAGGGCAGGGGGATCTTTAGTTTTAAGATTCCTTTCCTTCTCCCCATCACTGCCCAGAAGTAAGTCCAAGAAATTTCTGCTTACTTGTAATAGTAAATTTACCTACTCAGTTGCTTTGGGTTTTTTGGGTTTGTTTAAAAAAAAGAACAAACCCAAACAGGGCACAAAAGTTTTTCAAACCAGTTTCTTCTACATTTACAGATTTTTTTTTTTGCATTTATATTTTTTTATGCAATATTTTAATTACTGCTTAGAAAAAGAGAGAAGAGCAAACCATAGAGAGTTACTAGTAAATTTCAACTTGCCATTTCATTAAAAGTTGGATTTCTTGTCTTCCGGGAGATTTTGGTTTTGCGTTTGGATGTTTTGTGCGTATCTGGAAGTAGGTATGTTTTTACATAGGGATTTGGATCTGCACCATCTTCTGTAACCTACAATCCAAAACCAAGACTAGTTAGAAAATTAGTTAGTGCACACTTATTTGAATATTTATTTTCAAGTACCTAGACTTTGCAATCAAGCTAACCAAAAGCAGCAGTTAAGTTGGCAGCTGGAAAATTTGGAGGAAGAGAGAGAGTTCCACCATTCCTGCATCGACCAAAGTCAAGAAGGTAATTGACAAAACTGAAACAGTTTTTGGCTGACAGCTCACTATCTCTACTTACCAGATCTTTAATGTGCATCACCATAATAAACAGAGTGCTATTTCTATATGATATGGATAATTTCACTTCTCCTCCCACTTTGCCTGAGGTAGGACTTGACGGACTTGTATCTGAAAAAAAATATACAATTATTTCCTCTGTAATATGTGTACGTTTTCATCAGTACTATATTAACTGTGTATGGGGGAAAAATACAAGCCTTAGACAGAGTCCGGTTTGTGATTTTATTTCTAGTTCTCTAATAATAGGGCAAGGCCACAGGTTTAAAAGATTTTTGCATTCTCTTGTAAGAACCAACTTGGAGGTTTAGAGTAAAAACTTGAATAATTTAGTCAAGCCATAAGCAAGCCCAAGTGATCACATATACTGTTGCAATTTTTGCTATGTTTTTATTTCCTTGAAACTGTATGCAGGCACATTTGGAAGGACAGTGATGCAAAGTTTTCAACGAGGGAAAACCACAGTTAATTAAAAAAAGATTTAAAAAAAAATCACATTGTAAAGGTGTCATACTATAGTCACCCAATTTATAAACATCCCCCCAAAACCATTACCTACCTGTAGGTCTGGCTATTCCATCTATTCCTTCCACTTTGTCATCACGAAGTAATGGATGGAAAAAAGTATAAACAAGATCACACTAAATTTGGAAGAAATGTTACATATTAGTTCAAGTGTTAACAAGCACCAAAATCTGAAAATTTGCATTGCATTTGCTTAAGTTATTTGAACTCACTTCTGCCACCTCTGAAGAACTGTTCATCAGGCTCTGTATGTAGCTGTTAAGCTCCACTTTTCTTTTAGCTGCTACATCTTTTATATGTGTTCTTCCCAGAACCATCTTATTAGGAAAGCTACAAGGGAAGAACAAGACAGAGTTTTCAGTTAATTTCTTTGAAGTAAGTACAGTTAGATTTCATTGTCAGTTCCATCCTGAATTGCTGACTCAATTTTTTTATGTCAATCATAACTGGAAACACAGCACACTAACAGGTAATAATGTTACAGAAAGGCAAGGAAACACTTATAGCTAATTGTTAAGTGATATGACACACAGACTAAAGACACTGAGCTGCTCTTCTGGCTCTCTTCCTTAAAACTTCAAGACAGTTTTCTCCCTTAATTGCCAACTTTGAGGTCTAGTTTGCCCCCCAGCAGTTTTGTCTCCGTTTCAAGCTATTTCTTCCTCCATCCAGCTGGAAGCAGTTTTGTTGCTTCCATTATAATAGTGATGAGTGAGTTTGGAACATACCCTGGTAACTTCCAAAGAGGAAAGAGAATGCCAAGTTTGTTGTGGAGCTCCTGGAACTCATCAAATGTTCGGAAGACAAACGTTGGCTCAACTTGCCCTTCTCTCAAAACTCTCACTACATAGATCTGCCCAAACACAAAACCACAAAAGATAAAATTAGTAACAATATTATAGAACTGATTTAACAATATAATTTTCTTAACAATTAATTCTTTCTACTATGGCAATCCCTCTCCTGCATACATCTCCAAGTAACAGCATTTGCATTTTATAGCAGAGTTAGAATTCTAAATACCCCTTCTGTAATGCAAAGTAACGTCACATGATCTTCCCATAACATAGATCCACATCTGACAGTGGGATAAAAGTAGTTAAGTCTAAGCTGTCTGCATTCTCCCCTTTTGAGCCTCATTGTAAGTTCACAGCGTACAGCAGGTGTACAAAATTCTAACACATCAGTGCAGGATTACATCGAGACACGTATCTGTGGGGCCAGAACTACCACAAAACTTTTCAGGTGCAGACTAAGGAGGAAACTAATGCCTAATTTTTTTCCATCTAATTCTCTCAAGATTCTAAAGGATTCTACTTTTACAGTGATAATTTGGTGGGCAGATGCAAGTGTGCTGCATTATACAAAAGGAATTTTTCAAAATACTGGGGGTACAGCCAGAGGATGCAGTTATTCATGTTACTATGAAAGGGAAATGACAGTTAAGAAACTGCCCAGAAAATTCAATTCAGTGGACTCATTTTATGGCCAGATGAGTTAAAAGTATATTTAAAGAATGTGCAACTATGAAGAGGTTTAAAAATCTAGACAGAAGGAGACTATATCATCTTAACAGTTTCCTGGCAGATAAGAAGCTGTTTTGGCTTAGACCAAGAGTGCTCAAATACATTTATAATATAGTAATTCAGTACAAAGGTCTTTACTTCTGGTGTTATTCAGCTTTGTTCTACCTTCCCTGGGTGGTGGCTTACCAGATTAAGACACACACAGCAAATACAATGTTGAAAGATATGTACATTTGCATAAATCAATATAGCTCACTTTTTAAACAACTTGAGGAAAACGTAACTTGCGCTATTCTTGGCCAACAAACAGTAGTAGATAAGTAAAGAAAAATAAATTGAAGATGGTTGCACATCTGCACAGGAATACAAATATTAATACAAGTCTTCAAGCGTAACCCAGGTCTATCAAATCCCGATGACAAATTGTAATGCTTGCTACCTCTACTAAGACTGACTAGGAGTGTAGGTGCGTTAATACAGAAAATTATGCTTTTATGTAGGAGGAACAAATACAACTTTAATGAAAGGTCAGAACAGAACCAGAAAGTGTTTGACTTAATGACTCTATTTAGGAAGGAGCAATTTTACATAAGGCAGCTACATAAAACGCATAACCACAACTCAAATCCCCATTTTTTTAAATCATCTCCACCAACACTGCTTCTGTCCTTTCTGCTTCCTTCTAATTCCTTTTCAAGAAGTGTCTTCATTTTGAAGAGTATTATTGGATGCTAAAAATACCGATCTGTACTCTAGCGCTGCTGTGGTTGGTTTACCCTGGCCAGCAGCTTAGCACCCACACAGCTGCTTGCTCACTCCCACCCCCTCACTGATGGGACGGGAAAGAAGAAGAGCAAGAGCAAGAAGACCCGTGGGTTGAGATAAAGACAGTCCTTTGGAAGGGAGGTGACGCAAAGACAATTTCTCGCCACCTCCCACAAGCAGACCCATGCCCAGCCAGCCCCTGAGCAACAGCCACCTTGGAAAGCAACATCCTCCTGCCCCGCCGCTTTCTTCCTCTACCCCCAGTTTTTATTGCTGAACCTGACATGATATGCTATGGAGTATCTCTTTGGCCAGTCTGGGTCAGCTGTCCCTGCTGTGTCCCTTCCCTACTCCTTACCCACCCACAGCCTACTACTGCAGGGGGAGCAGGGGCAAAGTGGAAGAAAAGAGAAAGCCTTGACACTGCCCAAGCACTGCTCAGCAACAGCCAAACCAACGGTGTGCGATCATCACAGTTTTAGTTAAACATCTAAAACACAGCACTGTGTGGGCTGCTGTGAAGAAAGATAACTCCATCCCAACCAGAGCCAATATAACTCCGTTCTTCTCCAGGAAGCAAGAAAGCAAGCAGGCAGGCCCATTCCCATCTAGATTTCAATTACGGGTTTTGTTTTTACTTTCAGGTCAGCCACAGTGGGGCTTAGTTTTGGGTGTCAACAGGGGTGTGGGTTTCTAGGCTCCCATTATAGTCAATGCAGTCAGACTACAGAAAACTCTACAGCTCATCCTAAATATGACATCATAGCGCCCAAGTGAACAAGTAAGTATCTATAGCTGTACTTTCTAAATCTCTGTCAGTAAAGGGAGCCTAGTTGTCTACCTCAAAGCTAGCTACTTAATGCTAAACAAGGCAAGCTTCTCTTGGACTAATTCTCTGTGATTAAGTACCAAACTTATGGCAAGAAGGAGAATGTATCTTGCTGGAAGAAAACGCACAGTGTCTTCACTGAGTGGAAACACATTCCACATACTTACATAATGTTTATCTGGGTTATATCTCTTCTGATATGTAAACACTGACACTTGTTTGATTCGGCCATCTTGTTTAAGAGAATACGTTTTAGCAGAAAATGAGAGGATGGGTTCATCATTCGAAGGTAGACCTGAGAAACGCAGCTGAGCCAAGTTGTGAATGAAGAAATTAAACTTCGTGGCAACACTTCCCAGGCTGGATTCAATCAACCTAAAAAAGAAAAGAATAATGTCAAATACTAGAGCACACGTCAGAATGCACAAAAGTAGTTCTGTCAGCGAATCAGACTTAAGACTATGAAAAATAAAAACCAACTTCTTACTGACAGAGAAATAGTTTTTAAACCTCAATGGCACCATATCAGCATTTCATAGAAGATTCAGTATCCAAATGTTGGAATAAGTTGTTATCCAAGAAATGAAGTCTTTCCAGAGTTGGTAAAAAAGTTACGTACATACTACTGCAGTTGCCCCCATATATTTAAAATGAAGTACGGTAAGACATTTTGTAACACATAGCAACAACTCAGTTACGCCATATACACACCCCCAACACTTGCTACACTGCTGCATCATCCCTCCCTCCCCCGTGCCCAAAAGCACTTCTTGAAAGAGAGAACTTCTTTACATGCATACCAGGTTGCCATCATATGCACTGCTATTAAGCAATTCAAGATGCATTAAAAATGCAAGTCTCAAACAGCCAAACAGAATTACCTGCTCTCATTATTTCCAACAAAATTTTTGCACAAGGTTACTCTAAAAGGCTAAGTATTTTAGCACAAGCATTAATCTTATATGAAACTGATCTTTTTTTATGTAGTTCACTGGTTAACCAGTATTTTATGATTGTACAGCATAACAATACAACTTCTACAGGCATGTTTGTGAACATCCTTAGTACTTTTTTTCACAGCAGAAAGCTCCCATTAAGAGGATGATGCTGGTAGATATTTTAGTTTTCACTTATCTAGTACCTTGTGAAGAAAATGGTAGCTTCTGCATCTGTTGTTTGAGGCTGGAGAGCATCCTGGACATACTTCAAGTCCTGAACCCCACTTAGTTCTGGTAGCCCAGAAGAAAGCATCTGCAGGAATTTACAGTTTTAATGCAATAAGACCAATATAATTTTACATTGAAATGATTAAAACTTCGACCATCAAATTAATCTGAAGCTGCGCTAACTTGCTAAATGCTAACAACATTAGCCAACAATTACTTACAATCAGCAGTTATTCCCTTCACCATTTCTGCTGAGTTAAAAGCTGTTAAAACACTTTGCAGTGTAATTTACGGTGTCGTCTTAGTTTTAAATTCTCAGGAAACAGGTGGGTAGTAAAAAAAGCTTAAAAGAAAAATCCAAATACAGCCTTCCTAAAAAGTTCTGACATTTCTGCCTTTTAAAAGTATGCATTAAGATTTTCTGCAGCATAAAAAGCGTAGAATTTAATGCAATCCAACATGAGATATCTATCGTTTCAATTGAATTTAATAAAATCATTACCAGTGAAAGTAGGTTAAGGAAGAGGTTTGCATGTTTTCTTATCAAATTGTAAGCTTGACAACAGAGGTCCACGAACAACTGAAAGCGAATAGTGGGTTTTTCACCACCATTAATGACATAAGCCATATCCGATGTCAGCACAAAAGGAGCTCGATCCCTGTTCAAAAAGCACAGAATTCCCAAGTTAATTATAAGGTTTATTCACTTTGTCATGTGTTTCCTCCTCCTCTCCATCCCCACCCCGAGGTAGTGATATTAAATAGCCCATTAATGCCATTTTACTTTTTGGGGTTGTGTTCAGCAGCTTAGTACTATCCCAGCACATTCACATGGTACTGGACCTACAGCAGATCTCCTGAAGCAACACTTGGAGGCCACGTGACCTTACAATGCCTCCCATCCCTCGTTTCTGGAAGCCATAACACACTAAAACAAACGGAATTACTATATTATCACGCAACTAAAACATAACTCCTCTCTCCTGGATATAGATTATCTTCCTCTACACTAAGGAGTAGTAAATACAAACTTGCTGTTAACTCTTCTCTATAATGTTGATATTCACTACTGTTTTTATGAGCCAGGGTCTGTTCTCATTTGTTTCACACTCAGATATTCAGTTGGCATAAAGGTTTTGGCACTCAATTTCTCATTTATTGATAAAGTTCACCTAACAAGCATGCAATATATAATTGCATGAATATAAGCTAAAAAGGTGAAACTAAAGTACAGTTTCATCCAGTATTCCTGGAAAAGTATGATGCCAAGATTTGTGTTTGATGTAAGGCTCCCAAATAGCAATGAAAAGTTACATTAGCTTTTTCCTGTACCAAAATACTTGGCTTTCATAACTATTGTAAAGGAATTCCCATTGAGATCTGCCAAGTGTGTATAGCACAAAGTTCTCAAGGAATGAATGTAGTTTGGAAGCACTGAAGTTAAATGATGTTTAGGAGACCAAATTTTCAATCTACCAGTAACAAGAACAGTAATTTTATTTGAAAGCTAGGCCTATGTGCTTTGACTTAAAACAGTTCCAGAGATCAGAATATGGAAATAGGAAGCTGGAGCCTTTTCAAAATTAATTCTATACAGGTAAGTTTGAAATGCATTCTGGAGTCTGTGGATAAATTGGAAGATACTGGCTTCATAATGAGAACAGCAGAAACAGGAACTTAAGAGTTAATGTTTAGGATTATAAGGCTTATAAAAATATACTAAAAATCACTTCATTCTCTACATTGCTTAGCTACAGGAAATACCTTTTAAAGCTACCAAACATTTGCGCATGACCCAAAAATTTTCCAAAGTCAATGTGAAACATATGCCCTGTGTTTCGGAGCATTATGTTATCATTGTGGCGGTCACAAATTCCCAATACATAAGTAGCTACACAGCATCCTGCACAAGAGTAAATGAAGTTTTCTGAAGCCTGGGAGGGAGAGAAAAAAGTGAATTGAGATCAAATATCTGCGGAAAAACAGCATTCATGCATTCAACAGTCAATCTCAACAAGGGTAAAAATCCAAGCCAGACAAGACAGGCCGTAAAATTTACTTTTTTCCAAAATAGTGTTCTGCAAACAGATAGCTTTGCAAAAATCTTTAGATACCACACTTTCCAGCAAAAATGGTTGTTCTTTAAAAAAATGCAAGACAAAAGAGGAGTTGAAGACAAATCACAAAAAGAAATAAATGTTAGCAGCAAAAAGAGTACAAGACTTATTTTTCCAGTGTGTTGTAACAGCATTGTAGCCAAAAGAAAACATTTTAATTTTTGAATCCCACGTGCTTGTATGAGAAGAAGCCACTGCTCCTAAACCACAATGAAGAGCAGCTACCATTCTTCCCTATCTTAAATTTGAAGTACATTTTATTATATCCGATAAAAATTCCTGATGTGAATCCTGAGAATCCATCTGGCTCCCTTTTAGTTACGTAAGGGATTTTCACGTGCTCTTTTTCAAATATAGAAAAAAAATAAGTTTCCTAAAGATATAAAACAAAAATCGCAATGGAAGATCTGGAGTAAGAATTTCATTCTTTCGTAAGATAGTATTTATCCCTTTTTAAAAGATCTTCAGAAAAAGAACACTGAAAAAAGTTACCTTTTCATATTCCTCCTCAGTAGGATTATACTTCCGCAACCATTCTGCCAGAGGCTTATCTTTAAAAGAACCTGTCACTCCGTATTCCACTTGAATTTTCCTAAGTGTATCTGAAGCAGGAACAAGCTCTACCATGCCTTTATTTAAAATACAAAGTGTATTTAATCATCTCCTTAAGTTATACTTCATTATTCAGTAGAAACTGTCTTAACAACAATGGATTTTACAACCTTAGACTAGCTTCTTTCAAAACCCAGTTAGGTGTAAAAATAGTGCTATTCGTCCACTATACATTTCTGTATTGCAAAGTGTAATCCATGTTAGGCTTACTTTACTACAATTACTTACAGTTGCTAGAATGCACATATAAATTTTACTTTGAATAATTACTGTCTATTACATAAACTAGTATTGGTCTATAAGCAAGAACTGCAAAATATTTTGATGCTGACATTTCTCATACACTGACACAAGTAATCTAGTAAACTGATGTCAAGTGTTGAAACAGACCAGACTGTTGCTCCAGAAATAAGGCAGCAGGCTTTACATGTGGCCTTATTTTGCAGATACCATTTACTAAAAATATTTGTATAGCTATGTCATAATAGGAAAACATTTATTTGATTAACAGAATTTTAATTCTATCTTGGCAAGAGCTACTAAGGGCAAATCTGTAATTTATATCCATTTTTCTTTTTCACTTTAATCCTCCAAGTACTTTAGGAATACTAGTATTAGCAGCAACAAAAAACAAAGTAACATGCTATGCAATCAAGTCATCATTCAAAGCAGGAAGAAAAGCCATCTGTTTCTCTAAAATGCAAGTCTTACATAAACAGAAGCTTTTTGCCTAGTTTTGCCAACCTAGATTTCCAATGTTTCCACGTACTTAAGAGTTTTCATCGTGCTGTTATAGCATCTGACCAAAGAAATATTTAAGTTATTGTTTATCCTCTTAACAATCTTGTGGTCCCCATTGGCTAGCTCTAGAGAATTAGAGAAAACTAGCAAAAAGCATGTTCAAGGTGCAAGGCAGTACTTACACTCAGCATTCTGTGACCTAGTTTCAAATGTAAAAGACAGCCTCATATTCCCAAGGAACTTTTACCAGAATATGACACTAATTCTGGGAGATACTGCATGTGTGTTTTAATTTTTTCATCTTTTTGCATGTTTCAGTACATGAACGATACTCCCTGACTCAACTGCAGCAGATTCCAAACGCTTTAGAATTTCAGTCTTGACTTGAATACTTTCTTTCACCATAACTAAACTTTAAGAATCAGGATTGCTATGGCACCATTATTTTCTTGTGTTGCAGTACAGGCATCAAGAGAAACCTTAGCTTTCATCATTATTAATATTTACTTGCCTGCACCACGGTTCATTTACAACAGAACACATAAGAATCTCAGGACTCAAGAGAAAAACACATTTTAAATGCAACTCAGCCATCAGGAAATTCAAAACAATTTGACTTGCTATAGTCTTGAGCACTTAAGTTCCTTGCATGGAAGGCTTCCAGCCTTCCACTGTTTCTTGGACCTGCCTCTACACTGAAATTTTTCACTATCAGTGTGACAAGAAATTGAAGTGGGGGAGCAAAGATTATAGGCAGTATCTAGTTTTGCACCTCTGTCTTTTCCAGTTGAGAGGCACTTGAAGATAACCATCCGTAGATCCAGTCCCTCCTGCAGCCAGATCTTATCCATAATCTTAATCATTTGTAAAGCCAACATATCTTGCCTCAGATCTTCTCCAACCTTAAATGGAAAAATGAAAGTTAACTAGAGACATAATATGCTTTCAGCAAAATCAAACTTCACGGATTTTAATTGCTTTGCATTTCTAGGAAGTGATAAATTATGCTACTTACTTCCGTGTTGCTACACACTTAAAAAGAGAAACAGGCTACATTTAAGCTTTCACATGTGGTAGACTTACTTTCACATTTTACAACCTGTTCAGATGTTGGTTTCTAGATACAAAGGAGCAAACTCACAAAATAACTAAGCTTATTGGTCCACGCTAAAGTTAATTGACACCAACGAAATAGTGATTATCATTCAACTTTTTTTTCTCCAATATACATGTAAGGCCTACCTTAAACATCACATTAATTTCTTCTCCCAGAGGGTCTGCATTTATCAGTGCAACTTTCAGTGGTACTGCATTGGAGCTGAAGAAAGAACATGCCTACAAGTAGATTTAGTGTTAATATTCAAAAAGCACTATTCCTGCTAGCCCAGAAAACAAGACATTCCGACAACAAGCAGGTTTGACACACAATGTGTCTATTCAGACTTTCAACATTGCAATTGTGGCAAATACGTGCTTCCTTTGAATAAAGAGCCCTTTGGCTGTTATTCGTTGAATTCTTGTACAAAAGCCAATAGTGCTGCACAGTGATGTTTTATACATTTCAAAGGGAAGAATGAATAAAATATGGGCAAATATTTTATCAGTAGCTTTTTTTTGAAATGCAGAAGATACTATAAAAAAATGGGTATTTGCACATTTCACAGTATTTTCTCATTTATCTGCTTTCAAGTGCATACGCATGATTTAATAGTTATAGTTGAGAGGGAAAGCAAGATGAGACTCTCTCCACACAGGATTAAATCCAGTATTCACAGACCTGTAGGTTCTCAGTGATGCATGATGATATAATCAAGACTGTAGTTGAGCAGATATTGTCAAACCTTGCCGAGTTCTGGAAAACTAATTTACCTGCTTCTCCTACATTATTACTTGCTGGACCTTCACAGTAAAATAAAGCTACTGTCTGCCTCCCTGGATTCAGTGCATCTCAGACACAACCAGTAACATGTAGTTTCACTTATTTCACACTATCTACTCACTGTTTGAACTTTATAGCCTTGCTCAATTTTCTCTTTTGATTACTACTGCAAACAGGACTTTTTCATGCACTTTGAATAGTCCCCTGCTTTACTACAATCAGGATTGCTGTTCTCAAAAGTCAGAGATGTACATTTAATACAAGTACCTTATTGCTTTCACACAAGTATTTCTATAAATTTCACCTTTACTCAGCTAATTTCACTGCCTTGTTCAATCAGAATTTTTAATTAACTCTCCCCCTCAGTATAAACAGCTTTCAAGCACCTAAATCTTTTTCTATTTGTAATACTTTGCCTATATGTAATTTTTACAAAAAGGTTTTGAAACTCTGAACGTGCAGTACCTTAATATTTAGCTCTTTTGCCACAAGACTGGGATTGAGAGGCAAACGGCACTTGTTCTTCAAGAAAAATAGCTGCACACGTTCCATGCCATTTTGCAAGGCAGCCTGCGGACCAAAAAGAAAAATTCAGATGACATTTTCTTAACTGAAGCATCTATAGAAAACTTCTGGACAAAGTTATTCTGAAGCCAATGTTTTAACACCTCAGTGTCAAAGGAATGGTAGGAATTGTAACTGCTGTTTTAGCTATTGAAAATACATAAGCCTAGCAGTACAACACTAATATCACACAAGTTTGTGGGTTGTGGGTTTTAAGTTCACATTAGCATATTAACAGATACCCCATTCTTTTGCATGATGGCATCATTCTTCAGCAGTAATATGTTTAAATCCAAATCCAGTTTACTGTAGACAGAAACAATCGTACTTTCTTACCCTATCACCTCACATAATCTTATATTTCAGATGACAAAAAATTCTGCAAAAACATTAACTTCATTAAGGCATTAGCTTGTTATAATGCAGAGCAATAGATTTACAGATCTTTCCATATATTATATAAAACATTTTATTAAACTTAAGACTAAAAAGGCAATTGAGTGGATTGTTTTGAGGGTATACTCAGTCTAATCTTCCTAAAGAACATAAAAATATATACACACCTGCCGAGCAGATCCACTCGTTTGCTTTACTCTTTCTGCTACCATTCCAAAAAGCTGCACTAGTCTGGTCTGCTTCTCCAGCTCTTCTCTCAGCCTTTTCCCACAGACTGAAAGAAAAGCTCCAAGAATTTGCTCATACCTTACACCAAACTTTGTATCATACAGTGTATCCTTAAGAAGCCTGAAAGAAAGGATTTAAGTTAAGTTTTCCTATGGAAAATACTGCAAACAATGCAATACTAAGACATTAAAATATTCTAATGAATCAGTACTATACATATCCAATGTTACTGATATACAGGATATAAAAGGCAGTAAGTTTGTGCCTTGTAGAGGTACAGTCTGTTTTTTCATGAAAAAAACCCAGGATCTATGTTTTGTATACTCTCCATTCATAACATTCATTGTTATGAACCACGATAGTAAGAAAGAATTTTTTTTTCTGGAAATATTAATCTTATAGTAAACATTATATGAACAATGGAACAAAGAACATCATACCAATATAGGTAGTGTGCTATTCGAATGCTTCCCAGTGCCCGAGCCAAAAGAAATTTGACAAGTGCACTGTCAAGGTAGGTTTCATACTTCAATGCCTAAATACAAAGAAAATGAAATAAATCAGGTCTGGATTTAATTCTAGGATGAAGATTGAGATTTCCTGACTAATGCACAGACAGAAACACCACAAATCCATAGGACAGTCACAGAGCAATTATTTACTAAAGTTTTTCCATACCGTCCATTAAGGTTATTAATTACGGAGGCATGCAATTGCACTTCTGTTACTAGTAATCAGCAATTCCTTTGGGTTTTCAGGAGAAAAAAAAAAAATCAAACTTTCGAAGTGTAGGCAGAAGGTCTTACCTGCACAAACTGAGGGAGGAAATCTGTTAACTCATCATCACTTAATGTCTCTATCCAATTCACAGCTGTATTTCGTACTTCCTGATCAGCAAATCTAGAAAGTCACCACAAGTCCACATTAAGTTTATTCTGTTCATGTAGGATTTTTTTTTTCTTTTTTGAGATCAGCTAGATACAAAAGAACCTATATAAAGTCTTTACTAGCTCAATAAAGGACATAAACATTTGAGGCCCTTCACTACCTAAGATGCAAACACGTGTGTGTTTAGGGCAAGCATACTAATCTCTGAAAAACTTGAGTTTTGATAGCTTGGCTGTATAGCTTGCTCTCTGGTCACAAATTAGATTCCAGAATCTTAACCACTATTGCTATTCTTTCATGACATGACTTTGTTTAGTCTACATGAATAAAGTAAGCATGTGTTCAAAATTTTGAGAAGACTGTAGCTTTTGCTACAAGAAATTCAGCAATATTTTCCACAAGAATTACTGAAGAAAAGTAATTTAACGAACACCACACAGACAGAACTTATTTACATTGTTTTTCTTACTTTGAATCAAGTAGTTCCAGTGCAGCTAAGGGTGATAAAGGAGGCCACTGCTGAAGTAATGAATATATTTCTGGAAGACTTCCCCAGTCCCAGTGAGGGGCGCTAACCAATATTTTTGGTAGGCTACTAGTATGACTATGACAATAATGTCTCTTTTCCCACAAAAATTCTTTATCTTCTTTTGATAGCCTGGAGAAAAAAAGCATTTCAGTTTATAATACACATTACAGACCATTACCTGAATAACCCCAATGGTACCAGTCACTTGTATACCTACAGATAATTTAACACACAGAATGGAACAACATTAAACCAGCTATTTCCTGACGGAAGTCAAAACGAGAAGCAAAATAAAGCCTCAAACATTAGGGAAACAGTTGTTCAAAGGTATAATTTAGGCAGGACAAAAATAAGTTTTAGTATAATCTGAAATAAACCAAAATGTTAACATTAGTTTGGTGCAGATGAGTGGGAAAGCCTGCCAAAAAAGCTTCCATGGCATATGAACGGCCACTGCTGAAATTGCCACTGCTCCCTGTAACTGAAGAACTGCCAAGCAGGAATAGGCATATATAACAGGCAGGCAAAAGGGTGGCAGTCTTGTAAAAGGAGAACATTATGACACCAGCCACAGGAAAGCACAAGTAAATTCATTAAGTCAGCACCACTATTTCACAAGTTTAATTCAATCTCTTGTTTAAATCTCCACAAGTCTTCAAAATATACTAGAACCATAATAAAGAAATTTAATAAATAAGCATTCCATACCCTAGCCATAAGTTGTCACATACAAAGAGACCATAGATAGAAAGACATGAACATACCCAATAGTGTTATCCTTTGAGAGAATGGCAAGGAGACGTTCTCTCAATGGTTTTTCTAATGTTTCTATGGAATGATGCACAGTAGTCTTTGCAGCTTGAGGGATTTTATATTCAATATCAAAAGCATGGGATGGGAAGTCAATCTAAAGAAAAAAAAAGAAAGAGAGAGATGATGCAAGTCCATAAGAGCAGTACCAACTCTGTTCTGGGACTGCTAAGCCATGCCTAAGAAGGTGCCTTCTCTTCCGAGAGAAATTTGGACTCTGAATTTAGAATGAGGGGTGCTTCTGTTCTGTAAGGAAACTGGAATTTCTATTGTTTGGGTCTAGACAACTCCCAACTCATCATACATTTCTAGAGATTGCTTTTCAAAGATGTTCTCTCCCAGTACCAATAGCATGTACTACTGAGGCATCTCCAATTTCTTACTTGAAAACACTAATTCAATTATTGGCTTGTATACACATAGAGCAGCTTTCCATTCTTTGCCCTTAATGTTTAGTAATCACTATTCCATATTGGCTTTCAAATATTACTTAGCGATATTTACACCTTCCCCAAAACATTAATTGACCTACTGCTGCTCATTTAAGAGTTACAAGTCACGAATATTCAAAGAAAACATAGTCAGATCAACTCAGAATTATATATAACCTGCAATACTATTCTTTCCGTATTTCCTTTCTTACTGGCCATCCCCGATGCATGGTGTGGATGTGATGAGGTCCAGAGTTGCAAGAGCTTTGTCCCACAAGTTAAAAATCTGAGGAAAAAAAAGCATGTACAGGTACTAGTGTCACAGTCTTTTTAGTTCAACAAGATACTAGTAAATACTATCTGGAGAAGACCAATGGTCACTACAAGGAAACATTTCCAAAGTATTAGTGTTGCATAGGAGGATAGTTCAAACTGAATATGTGTTTCTATTGCAGAGATAAGAAAATACCTTATGATGAGCATTTTGACATCAACGTTCAAAAAAGAACACAGGAAATCAAGCTGTATAAGCCAGTACAGTTCGGCACTTAAAAAGGGAATTATGATCATCAAGTGTTACATGAATTAATTTCTTTCACTAGATGTCTTCTGTACTTTAAGTCCTTTAAAACACCGCATACAACTTTTAGGTGGAAAAGGCAGAGGAAAAAAGTTCCGTGCTGACTCAGCTGACCCAGCTAAATTAAGTGCTCCCTATTCCTTAAGGGAGAAAATTAGTATTTTTGCCTCTGAGAAATAAACCGAACACACGTACCTTCTTACCCTTTCAGAAAAAAACCTGCAGGCATATGAATATTATAGACATTGCCAGTTGCCTGGACTTTCCACATTACTAGATTCTGCAAGCACATACCAGATGACATTTGTATTTGCCAGTGTATCCCAATATTAATATCTTTTCCAATTGTAGTAAGGCAAAACTGAGGATACTCAATAAATCGTTTAAGTGCTGACTGTCAGGCACAGAAACCTTCTATCAGTCTTTAAAAAAAAAAATCAAAATAAAGTCTCAAAAGACTGCTTGAAGGCCAAGCTTTTAGTGTATTTTAAAAGATGTTTTAAAGAAAGAACAGTTCTTTGTAGGTAAATATTGATTAATTGGGAGCTTATGATGCCAATAAAAATTACTAAATCATGACACTAAAGCATAACTGAACAGCTCGTTCTTTTTAATAATTCTCCAGTTTAATATAGTTGCCACAGCCTTCTGTCTCATCCACAAGTACAGATATTTTAAGGCACTCCACACACGCTTCATCTGAAGTAATTTTAACTTGACTACAGATTCTTCCAAAGCATACATATGACCTTTTATTCTTCCTACGTTTTAGTTAGCTACAAGTTTTAGCTCCTGCCTGCTCCTGATGCTATTCTTAACTGCAACTGGAATATTTGGGTAGTATCTTTAATTACCTAGGTCTGGATTTAATTTACATAGACTGCAAGTGAATTAGACCACCAGCATCTCTACGGCTGCCATATACAGGCCATTCAGTAAACCCTGGTGCAAGACATGCTATTGTAGTGCTCTGCATGAACAGAAAAACAGTTTTCTCCACAGACTAACTACTATGAGAACACCACACAGCATGAAGACTAGATAAATATGCAATTCAAATCCAAACAAAAGATATGTTTTCAATCAGATACTGTGAAATGTGATATTTAGATAGAGACTGAAATGCAACATTTAAACAGAAGGCTGAAGTAAGCATCGTTTATGAAAACAAATCTAAGTTTCAGTTGTGACTGAAAGCAGCTGCAGGCCATCTTTGCAATGCAGGAAAGCCTAAATTCTTAAGCACCCCGAAGCTGTTGGAATATGAATGGGGAAGCGGAAGAAGTAGAGCCATATCTAGAACCAGAGGATGCAAACCACATGGAACAGACATAAGCAATACACAGAAGTAACTGTCTAGGAAAGACTTCGTTGTCCTTCTGCAGCCTTGGTTACAATTAGAAAATTTAAGATTCCAGTAAAACCTAGAAGTCAGAAGCACATACGAATAGGAGATGTTAAGGGTAAATCCTGAAGCTATTTTGCAATGGTGTGATCACTTCTGCATCGTCATGCCTAATTCTGGCATCCAGTGTTCAAGTCTATGTGTTAATGTTCCATTGAATAGCTACCAAAGTGATAAGCATTTTGGAATACCCTTTGTAATGAAAGTTTCAAGGACAAGGCAACTTGAACAAATCCAGGAACACTTCACTGAGGAAAATTACAGCAGGTTTTTCATTCTTGGTGAAAAAGGTATAACAGGATCCAGCAGGTGTACTGGGAAGAAGGCCAGTTCAAACTAGAAATATACCGTAAGTTTAAACACAGTTGTTAATTATCCCTTTTTAATTTTAATTTTTTAAATAAATCCTTCTCTGAATCAAAAGGAATAATTCCAGAATATGCTGGGATCTCTATTACTTAGAAACAGGCTAATGGAAGAAATGGCTTGTTTTTCCTATCTATGAAAATACACCTGTATTTTAAAATACATCTAAATTTTTTAAAAAAGTATTTTGATTCTCTTGCTGGCTTATATATTACCACCCTATTATCCGATTTAGGAATTTTAAAAAGTATTAAAGAAAAAAAATTAATTTATCAGAATTTTTCCAGTTTGCTCCTGCATATGTAAACTTATGAAACATGCAGCATTAAGTATTTTGCAGCCAGGGCAAAGACACCTCTAAAGAATAATACTTAGAAATACTTCAGACCTTTAATTTAAGGTCTTTCATTTCTAAAAATTTGAGCCACCCCTGTATTTTGCTCTACAAACAGGATTGGGCAAAGATAGGAGTTATTCTTTCCTATCTTAAGAGAGTTTTACAGCAAGAGTGCTTCTTTTCCAGTGACATGATGGAAGCATAGCACACTGTTTACCTGCTGTCAAGATTCTGTTGTGTTTTGTATTGCACTTGA